ATAGTATCTATTTAAATACACAATACGCTCGGATGCGCATAATGGTCAAGTATTGAAGGACACCAATAAGAGATTGATAGAGAGTATGATCAAAGAAAGGAGAACCATCAACAGTCAGGTGTTGAGAAACAACCATGAGTGTGGATTGGTTTGCTATTGAGCTGAGCACGATTAAGAATATCAGTACCACCAGAAGAGAAAAAAACAGTAAAGAAAAAAAAAAAGGAAATCCAATCAAAGTTAACAGAGGGGCAAATGAGTCATTTTGCCCCTTTTGCCCCTCCAACCATAATAGGGATTCTTGAAACCCTAACACCATACCTGCAAAGAAAGAAAAAGAGTGAGAGAGAACTATTGGGAGAAGGACTCGTCGAATACAACTATATCCTTACTTGAATAGGATCTATTCTATAGGTTGTACAACTGTGTCCTTGAGTTCTAAGGAGGCAAGAACCAAAGCCTGGTGGATGAACAACTACCCTGCGGCTAGAGCGTAATTAATGGGGATTGTGAGATTCCACGTCGATTGGGGAGGAGAAAGAAACACCCTTTATAAGGGTGTCGAAATCTCTCCATAGCATAGAGTTTTAAAAACCTTGAAGAGAAGCCCGAAAGAGAAAGCCTAAACAGGATAATATCTGCTAGCGATGGGCTTGGGGCGTTACAAATGGTAACAAAGCTAGACATCGGGCGGTGTGCCAGCGAGGAGGCTATTCCCCAAAAGGGGTAGACACAAGGCAGTGTGCTAGTAAAGACGTTGGGCCCCGAAGGGGGTGAATTTGGTGTGGTCCCACATCGATTAAAAAAAGTGTGTCAGCGAAGACACTATCTGCTAGCGATGAGCCTGAGCGTTACAAATGGTAACAGAGCTAGACATCGGGCGATCTGCCAGCGAGGAGGCTATTCCCCGAAAGGTGTAGACATGAGGCAGTTTGCTAGTAAAGATGCTGGGCCCCGAAGGGGGGTGAATTTGGTGGGGTCCCACATCGATTAAAAAAAGAGTGTCAATGAAGACGCTGGTCCCTGAAAGGGGGTGGATTATGAGATCCCACATCAGTTGGGGAGAAGAATGAAACACCATTTACAAGGATGTGGAAACCTCTCTCTAGCAAACGCGTTTTAAAAACCTTGAGAGGAAGCCTGAAAGGGAAAGCCCAAAGAGGACAATATCTGCCAGCGGTGGGCCTAGGTCGTTACAATATCTCGAGCATATTTTATCATTAATAAAGAGACCATCAAGAGTGGGTGAGTCTTCAAGACTAAGAAAGTAACTAAGAGAGCCTAAATCCTTGACAGCAAACTCAGAATAAAGCTTACGAGTAAAGTTGTCAAGAAAAGATGGGTTGTTGCTCGTAACAATAACGTCATTAACATAAAGAAGCAGATAGATAAGGTTAGATTGCTAATGAAAGACAAAAAGGGACGTGTTAGTGCCATTACAAGAAAAACCAAGTGTGAGAAGAAATGAACTAAAACTAGGCGCGAGAAATAAGAGAGCTTTCTTTAATAGTCAGACATGAGTGAGAAATCGATGATCAATATACCCAGGAGGTTGTTCCATATGAAAATGTTCAATAAGAGTGTCACTGAGGAAAACATTCTTGTAATTAGTTGTTGAAGAGGTCATTTATTTTTCAAGAGAAAACACAACACAGACAGTAACAGCTTTGGGAATCAAACCGAAAGTGCAGGTGAAGTCGAGAATAGGAATCTGAGTATAACCTTTGGCAACAAGACGAGCCTTGAAACGCTTGACGGATCCATTAGACAAATATTTAATGCGAAATTTCCATTTAGAGCCCATGATGTTGGTCTTGGCAGGGCGAGGAACCAAAATCCAAGTGTCATTTTGTTGTAAAACTTGAATTTCCTCATCCATGGCAGCAAGTCAAGCAGGATTCTTAATGGCAGATTTGAATTTTCTTGACTCAATGGATGCAAGAAGATAAAAAATGAAGTTCATATGAGTCCAAAACACCAAGATTTGTAGGATGTCGAGTCTTGAAGATACCAACTTTGGCTCGTGTGATCATAGGATGAGAGTCCAAAGAAGAAGAGGAATCAACACATGTTCAATAGATGGTGGATCAAAAGTCGAGGATGGCAAAGAGGAACCTGCAAGAGAAGTATCAAACTACACAGACTCATCCACAAGAGCAAACACAAATATCATCGGAGAGAAGCTGGATCGAGGAATGTGCGGTGAAGAAGTGGTAGGAGGGATGTATCAATATGGTAAAGATGTGATTCCAAGAAATTTGAAATGTGAAGAGAGGAAAGAGGTTGGGTCTGGCAACTAGGGACAAGAAAGTGAGTTTCATCAAATTGAGCGTGACGGGTGATGTATAGCCTAGTGGGGGAGGGATCAAGACAACAAAACTCTTTACGAGAGAGACTATAACCCAAGAAAATTCAAAGAATGTTGTGGAGATAAAGTTTGTTTGACATATAATCACGCAAGCAAGGATAAACGCGACAACCAAAGGGATGAAATTTATCATAATGTGGAGAGTAGCTGTAAAGGAGTTCAAAGGGTAACTTACCTCCAAGAAGTGGAGTAGGGAACCGGTTGATAATCTAAGCTGTGGTGTTGAAAGCATCAACCCATAAACAAGAAGAAAGATGGAAGTAGAAGAGAAGAGTCAAAGCAGTCTCAGTAATATGACGATGTTTTCTTTCAGCAGACCATTTTGAGCAGGTGTAATATGGACAAGAGAGTTGTTGATGGGTGCTAGAAGTATGTAAGTGAACTTTGAAGCAAGTGCTAGTAAATTCGACACACATCGCTCTGAAAAACCTTATATGAGCATAATATTGGGTTTCAAACTTTTTAAATTAAAGAAAAGTACCAAAGATCACAATAAATAAGATCTAACACATGAGACAAACTATGTTCATAGCGGAGATAAGATAATCGATGACTTTTCGCAAGCTGACAGGTACTAATAGAGATGGAGAAGGCAATAAAGACGTAAAAGAAAGATGTCATTTTATATTTAAAAAAGAAATAACAAAATGAGTCACATGACCCAGGTGAGAATCGAATAAATCATATGAAACACATAAAGATTTATTTTAAGAACATAAATAAAAGTAGAGTTGCAGCACTACAACACATATAGTCCTCCATCCCTTTTACCGGTCTCCACCACCCTTCCTATTTAACGATTCTGAATAGTAAGAAGATTATTAGTAAATGTAACATAGAGAGAAAAATGTTAATTTACTCATTGAAAGAATATTTTTTTGTGAGATGAAGGACAACCAAAGCATCTAATAAGTGAATATTTGAAACAGAAGAAAGAGTACTAATGTGGATAATGGGTAGGGATGCACCGTTTCCTACGATCACAGAGTCCTTACTCGTGTAACTTTTAGACTGAGGTCCAAAGACCAATCAATAGAACAAGACGTGTCAAAAAACTAATCAACAGCCTCAAGTCCAACAATAGAACAAGACATGTTGAAAGTTTCAGCAAGGTGAGCATGAGCAGAATCAGTCAAAACGTACCATAGGTTGCAGCGGTCAGCATAATGACCCTTTGTGCAACATATTTGGCAGCGAGGTGGTCAACGGCCCTGAATTGAGTGGGTTTGTCCTCGGGTGGAAGAGTTGCTCATGTGGAAATGAAAACGACCCCGCTGGTTGCTGAAGGAAGCAGGGTGACTTCCATGGGCGTGACTGCAATTAGTGACTGTGAATGTCGTGGAGTGGAGTTAGAAAATTCAAGGGAGTGCTCGAACAACTCAAAACTTTAACTTTAGATAGTAAATATGCAAAACAGGGGAGAGTGGTGAGAGACATCTGCGTAGTAGAAAAAATTGAAAAATCGGTGTCGAGTCCATGAAGGAACCAGTGCACTTTATCAATGTCCTCAACGGGTCTGTCAATGACATGAAGTTGATCACAAATTGTTTTGAAGGTACGGGTATACTCAGTAACAGGTTTGGTGCCACGTTTCATTAGTTGCAAGTCATCCTTGAGTCTTAGTTCATAAGCTTTCTGAGAATATTTGCTAAAACCACTCCACCTAAATGGTGTGCGAATTCTCTATTTATAATAATTTAGAGAATCAAATAAATTACAAGGATATAAAAAGAACAACAAACAGAAAGAACGATGGATACAAGATATTTGCCTATAATAAAAGGGAAAATATGATATTTATGGTAAGTCGTAATGGAAGACAACCATCCAGATATTTGCCAATGATAAAAGATCCAATATAATATATATGGCAAACTATAATTCATGACTAATATCCTTTAACACTTTCGAATGATGACTGAACATAGTCTCCAATACAAGACAAATGTCACGTGCAGTAGAGAGATCAACGACGACAACAATGACTGTCATCCATTGTAAATTTTTTATATACACGCTATAAAGACATTTTATACAACCCGTTTTTGTATATACTAATAGTTATAACGCGAGCTACATTTTATCGATATTTAAAAAAAAAAAGAAAAATCATTTCCTTTTAGAGCTAGTTTGTGAACAACCTTTCTTAAAAATTAATTTGAAAATCTCTTTATTAAAAAATTAAGCTAAAATATAAAAATTCATAACTTTAGGCTGATGGTAGGAGAACTTTCTAGAAGATAAGCCCAATATGATGGTCTATAAATGAGAAAAATAATATTGACCCATAGATTCGAGTGTATACATATTTTAAACTCGTAAATTTTTTTAATCCAAACAATTTATTATTTAATAATAAATTTAACCTAATTGGGTTATTTATTTTTAATAAAAATAAAATATCTATTTATTTATTTTAAAACAAACTCAATTTATTAAAAATTATTTTTAATAATTATTCAGAAATAAATAATATAAAAATAATTATGAAAGTTATTTTTTTAAAAAAAATTAAATGAATTTTTTATTATTATGTACATAATTATATAAATAAAAATAAAATTTTCATTTATTTATTATTATTTTTTTTCGAGTAAAATTTAATCCATTTTCATTTCTGCAAATTCTTTTTAACTTTCTATCACAATTTCACATAGGAATTTAGAGGGCCGGAACTGAAGCACATGCACTGGGTGATTCGGCTGCTAGAGCTCAAAGTTGAACCCATCTTAGGGTTTATTCGGGCTTCCCTTGGATTGAACTGCACCAAGCAGCATACAAGCCCGCCAGAATACTTCAGATTCCAATCAATGGTGTTTCTTTTTGTAGATTGATTCGTGTTTTTTTTTTTTTTTTTCTTGCTCGAGATTGTTACTCGTACAGTTATCGTGATTCGGTTCTGTTAATATGGTGCACTGAAGGCTGCGGAGTAGAAATCATCGGGTCCCATGGGAGGATGTTAAGCTTCACAATCTTGTACTCAATATCTCAATAGCTGAGCTTCAAAGGTATTACTTTCCACCTACCTCCACCTCATCCTTCTACTGATGTGCTCGTCCTGTTCGATTTGATTTTCATTGTCCTGTTCGATTTGATTTTCATTGTCTGCTAATCTCTAAATAATAGTTTTGAATGGATTGTATTTTGATTTTATTTTATTGACAGGCCGTAATTGTTTTGTTTGATTTCTTTCTATTAGAACGCGAAGATCCGTTTTTCGAGCTGATGGAATTGGTCGAATTCCAAAAATTCAAATCATGATTATTATAAATTCTTGATGTTTATTCGTTGTTAATGTTTTTTCTTTGCTTGAATCATTTTATCTAATTTTTTCATATTTTTACCTGTTTTCTTGTCCCATTCACTTACGGATTTTGGCAGGTTTTGGCTCTTAAATTGATCATATATCTCAAAAGAATGGTCTCCAAATATTCTACAAAGTTTTTGAATATTTGTGTCGCTTCATTCTGTAAATCTCAGCAAATGCAGAAAGCTGAAGATGTAATAATAGATGGCATAAGGTTAGGAGTTCTCCCGGATGTAGTGACTTACAATACATTGATTGATGGATATTGTCGATTTAGTGGCGTGGATACTGCTTATTCAGTTCTTTATAGAATGAGGGAAGCTGGTATAAGCCCAGATGTCATTACTTATAATTCTTTGATAGCTGGGGCATCCAGGAATCGCTCATTAGAACAGTCCCTTGATTTGTTCGAAGAAATGCTTCAATCGGGTATCACTCCTGATATATGGAGTTACAACACTTTGATGCACTGTTTATTCAGATTAGGAAAGCCAGATGAAGCCAATCGAATTTTCAAGGATATCATACTTAAGGGCCTCTCTCCTCATCCCGTTACATTTAATACTATGATTAACGGCCTTTGTAAATATGGGTATACAAGTAATGCCATTATGTTATTCAGAAATTTACAGCGTCACGGATTCGTTCCTCAATTAGTTACATATAATATTCTTATTAATGGTCTTTGCAAGGTGGGTAGGATGAGGGCTGCTAGGAGGATGCTCAATGAGGCCATGGATTCAGGTCTTGAGCCTAATGCTGTAACATACACTACATTGATGAAAAGCTGCTTTCGATGTAGGCAATATAAACATGGATTTGAGATTTTTTTTGAGATGAAAAACAGAGGATATGCGTTTGATGGATTTGCCTACTGCACAGTTATTGGTGCTTTTCTTAAGTTAGGTAGGTTTGAAGAAGCAAATGTTTGCATGGAACAAATGATAAAAAATGGTTTGGGATTTGATTTAGTTTTCTATAATACTTTTATTAATTTGTACTGTAAAGAAGGTAAGTTGGAGGCTGCATATAAGATGCTGGATGAGCTAGAGTCACAGGGACTAGAATACGATGACTACACACATTCTATAATAACTGATGGGTTGTGCAGGAATGGTAATATTGAGGGGGCCTGGCGACATTTGAACTACATGTATACAACAGGTTTTGTTTCAAACTCGGTAGCCTTAAATTGTCTAATTGAAAGGTTGGGTAAGGCTGGACAGATTGACCATGCGATGAAATTGTTTGAATCAATGGAAATAAGAGATTCGTTTGCCTATACATCCTTGGTGCACAATCTTTGCAAGGCAAGGAGGTTCCGTTGTGCGTCAAGGTTATTAATTTCGTGTATAAAAGGTGGCATGAAGGTTCTCAAGTCCACACGACGAACAGTTATTGATGGTCTTATTTCTTCAGGGTATACAAGTGAAGCAGGGAAGGTCAGATCAAAATTACGAATGGCTCGACTCTTTCACTGATTATCTGGGTTTGAATGTTGCACTAGATCAGAAATTACTTCAACTTTGAAAATCAATTTATTTTGTTCATGGGCAACGCAAGCATCAAGTACCATAAGGTATCCCTCTTTTCCCCTCTCTCAAATGAATATACAGTTATATACATTATTTGTTTGACTTAAATCACCCTTCTACTGGTTTACTCAGACACAAAATGCAAGATCTATATCTATCTATTTATGTGTGTGTGTGTGTCACTATCCATCCCTGTGCGAAACTGTTGCTTTTCCTTGTTCCCTGGACCTGGCTTGCATGTGCTGACACTTTATCGCTGGTTAATGTGATGGCAGGATGTTTGAGAAAGCCATCACAAATCATCTGAAGAAATCTAGACGAAAAAACCATGGGATGAAAACTAGCCAATTGTTTTGAATGATTGGCTACTCATGGAAGATGAAATATTGGCAATGTGAGGGTAGCTCAGAGAGTTCAGCCTCAACAGAGGCCCTCGTTGATGATTATCGCGCTATTTTATGACTGGTAAGCCTTTCGAATTCGATCTAGATTCTTTTTAGGATGTTGCAGTGTTAAAACTTCTATGTTCTGGTTCTCTTCTTTTAGCCATGTTGTTTGAAGTAGAGAAGATTTTAAACTAATTAGTGGAATCTGAACGATTAATTACTATACGATATGAACATAATACCCGATCTGGATTTTGTCAGCATTTTTCTCTGCTTGTTTGGATTTTCTTTTATTGTTTATTTTACCATTTAAAATGCTGAAAGTGCCTCACAATTCTTTGTCATTTTAACACTCACTGACATTTAATAACTAAATCATCTTTAATACCCATCCACATTTTAATAACTTCCTAAGAAAAAGCTGAACTCATTGACCTTCCCCTCAGTAACTCTACACATGGTCAAACAAAAGATTCTCACCCACCTTGAAACTCATTGATAGACTTTTGACTACTAATGGTCTCCTAGGACATTCAATAGTGCTGGTGTTCGAAGACTGAATAGACATACATTTGATCATTATCTCATTGTACATTTTATGGGCTACTTTAAATAGGGCCCAGACCCTTCCATTTTGTGAATATGTGATTGGACGACTCTGAATTTTTGCCTATGATAGAATACTGGTGGAAGAACATGCCCCTTTGTGGATGTTCGGGGCATGGCTTCATTTAACAACCTCAGAAGGCTTAAAGAAATTGTCAAAAAAAAAATGGAACAAGGAGGTTTTTGGATGATTTTTTTTTTCCTTACATAAATTGCTCTTCTTAATCAAATGGAGGAAACTGACCCTATCACACTAGTTCAACATACCCACAAAAGAATCATGAAAGCTGATTTTATCTAGTTGGCAGTAAAGGAAGAGCAATCTTATAGACAAAAATGTAAAAAACGATGGCTTAAGGAGGGCAACATAAACTCTAGATTTTTCCATCGCATCATGGCCTCAAAGAAACAGAAAGAGTACCATCATAGAAATTCTATCGGCACAAGGTAGAAGTTAAGTCAATAAAGATGAACTTGTTTCAAAATTTGTGTCCTTGGACAATACCCTTATCGCATTTCCCCACGACTTTGATTGGAGCCCATCTGTTCAACAACAACCAGCCTCCTTTGATGTTGCTTTTACCGAAGAAGAGATGCTTTTATCGAAGAAGTAATTGGGAAGGCAAAAGCTCTTGAGCTCTGGATCATACAGTTTTACCTTAGAATTCTTTAAAAATTGTTGAAACATTATGAGAGTCGATATCACTAGTGTTCCAAGATTTTTTGTTAGATTGGAGTTGTCAATAGAAGCTTCAATGAAACATATATCTGTTTGATCACAAAGAAAATGGATACCCGCACTGTTGTCGAATTTCATCCCATACCCCCTTCGACCGGGCTATACAAAATTATAGCAAGGGTGCTATCATAATGTCTAAAAAAGGTTCTCCCTTTCACAAGCACTTGGCAATAGACAACATTTGTAGAGGGACGTCAGGTCCTTGATGCATCCCTCATGGCAAATGAATTTATAAACGGATGGAAAAGAAGAAAGAGAAAAGGTTTTGTCATCAAACTTGACCCAGAAAAAGCAGTTGACAAGGTCGATTGGACTCTCCTCGAAAACATTCTTGTAGCAAAAGGGTTTGACTCAAAACGGTGAGGGTGTATAAAAGGCGGGCATCTCATCCACAAAATTCACCGTCATCATTAAGGGAAGACCAATGGAGAAGATCTATGCTACTCGAGGTCTTCAACAAGGGGATCCACCATCCCTTTTTTTTCATAATGGTAATTGATTGCCTTAGTCATTTACTCACCAAGATTGAAAATAGAGGGCATATAAAGAAATCTTAGGTTGGTAATGAAGGTCACGTATCAACCCCCTTCAGTTTGCGAATGACACGATCCTCTTCTCTAATTTGTTAGATGTTTCCTCCATAAAAAACATGTTTAAGATGGTGAACACCTTCAAAAGATTCTTGGGACAAAACATCAACGTTCAAAAAATAGAGATTATGGGTTGACGTTAGCATAGAGGATATTGAGGACTTCGCATAAATGTGGTTGTAAAATGGGTGAATGGCTGAATATGTCTATGGGATTGCGCCCTTAAACGGGAACAACCCCAAATCTTTCCCCTTTTTGAAGACCATTATTGAAAAAATAGAAAGAATATCACCAGGCTCACTTAATACAAGCCACACAATCTAACTTTCCCACTTACTAATGTCTCTATTTGAAATGCCTAAGAAGAAAGTGGTTACGGAATTAGAAAAATTATTCAGAAACTATCGGTAGAAAAATGGCCTGCACCTTGTACGATGGAATACCATAAACCTCCCAGTTGAAAAGGGAGGACTCAACTTGTATTCAATTAAGAAGAGCTTTCCTTGCTAAATGGATATGGAGATAACACGAAGTCCCTACATTGTGGAGAAAACTTATAGAGACTAAATATGCTCTCACATTATGAACACGTCGATCCCCCACGTGTGTATAAAATAGCATGAAAACCTCATCACTAACTGAATTTGTCATAGGGTGGATGATGGAGTTTTTTTGGACTGGCTCGTGGATTGAAATCACCACACTTGCTATGCGGTATCCTCTTTTGTATAAACTCTCACAGTGCAAAATAACCAAGGTCAAGGAAACCTGGAAAGATGAAATAAACTATGGGATCTAAAGCTCGGTAGGATCCTAAAGGATAATGAAGCTACGAAATGGATCGAATTGAGTTTTGACCTTGTGTCAATTATATTGTCTCAAGAAGTAGACTCATTGAAATGGCTTCCCTGTTAGACAGAGTCTTCTCCACACAATCTTTGATAATGAATATGGAGAGGCAATAAACCCCTTACTAGCAAAGACAATGTCACCCTGAAAAGTGAGGTTTTTCTTATGGGAAATTGTGCCTAAAGCCATGATGATATACTATTACCAAACTGGTGCCCATTATGTAGGAAAGAAACTGAATCTCAAAACCATGTATTTGTGAAGTGTACGTATAAACTTGTAATTTTTGGATGAAAAGACATCTCACTTTTCTTAGGGAGGTTAAAGAGTCGAGGGACATGAGCTTAACATACCACCCCTTCAATAATGCAAAACCTCTACTATGGACAAACCTTGTTATGACTTTCTTTTGGAATCTATAGGAAAAAAAAAAAAAAAAAAGGAATTCAAAAGTATTTACGATGAACACAAACTTACATTAGGCTGTTCGAAAATGTTGTTTACCACGCCATTTCTTGGTGTAAATTGTCTTGTACTTTTACTTCCTATATCATGACCCCCTCATGGTAAATTGAAAAAGTCTTTTGTAAGCATCATGGATAACATATACCTTTTGATTTCAAACATCGAAATTTATCAAAATTTTAATGAATTGGGAAGATTAATAGATTTTTGACCAAATTGAGAAAAACCTGAAAAACTAGAATCCTTTAACTAGCCTAAAATAAAGTTGATTAAAAGCAATTTTTCTTTGATGAAACTCAGGCGGTTTAATTAAAAGGTCTATTTAAAAGTTTTTTTTTTGAAACATTTAAAGCTACATTAAATACTTAAAAGATTGTTTAAACTAAAAGTTATGCGAAACAGTTGCGTTCTCATGATGTTCGTTGCACAGGCCTTGTTCTGGTAGGTCACTTTTTTTGTTTTGTTTTTTTAATTTTAAATTTTGTTCTTGTGTTTTTATTACTAATATTTTAAATCGCGTAGTTTTGTTTCTTTGAATCAAATTGTGATAAGCTGTATAATGTGTCAGATGAGCTGGTTCTACTATTATTGTTCATAACTTGGAGATGCTAGCTCAGAACAGATTAAAAGGGCCTGCATGGAAAGAGTGCCATCCAGACTTGAGTGGCAATGATCCAGACTTCACGAATGGCTGCATGTTCATTAATGAAGTCTATGAGGTAGGATTTCAAATTCAAAGGATGCTATAAGCTTTGCATTATGAGAATGACAAATAAAATATATATACCATAATAAAAAAAAAAAAATGGGTGGAAGAGTTTTCACATACAAAATACACACACACACATACAATGCCTGATAAGAATTTATAGTGAGGGGGTTGCTCCTACACTCCAAGGGTCAATGTGGACTATCTGGGGCCAATCAACTACAACGATCGAGTTCAGCTTTTTTTCATTTAAAATATTACACATACTAGGCTTAGAGATGGGATTATAAACAATTCAAGTGACCTGTGGATGGTTTATTATACATTGCAGGTGCTTTGTGATCAATTGAAGTGGATGGTTTATGATGAAGTTCATGGATATGCTTTGACTTGAATCAACAACCCTTTCATGGATGATTCAAGAGGTCTCGCTTTTGTTGATGAATTCAGCTGGATAGGTATGTCTTATGTGAGTCTTTACCTAGTTTATAGTACCCACACGCTTCGGTTGATGTTACCGTAATCTTTTCGTGATGTGTTCTCGTCGTGACACAATGGACTTGGCAGCATCAGGCAAAGAGAGGTAAAGGTCATATATTTGCAAATTGCTATGAAATATTGGTGTCTTGAGAGGCTGCATTATATTTTGCCAAAACTCATGATTTGTACCATGATAACATCTTACACAAGAATCATTAGAAGTGGCATATTCTAACAGTTTGTGTACGACTTTTGGCTAGCATTTTAATGGGATAATCTGATTAAGAGAATGATTCGAATGCTTTGACCAATTTATTCTTTTGACATTCTTCACCATTACCACTTGGTTCAAGTCAAAGATTTAGTTCGACATATTCTCTTTATAAGGCATTTGTGGATCTAATTCGAATGCTTTGACCATTGATTTTTTTTTTATAAGGCACTTGGTTCAAGTCAACCTCTTTATAAGGCATGATGTGATGTACTGATAATATTGTTGGATCGATATGACAACCCTAGAGGGGTGAATAGGGTTTCAACAATATAAATATTAAAATTTTCTAGTAACAATAAAACTTATATTATGCAATAAAACTTAACAATAATTTAGAATTTAAATAGGAAAAGAGTTAGAAAATATAACACCATGGTTTGGTCAAACTCGACCTACTCCACTCCCCAAGCTCCTCTTGGGAATTTGAATAAAATTTTCTAACTCTTTCCTCAGATCAGAGTCCAACCGCTACTTTTATGAGTGCAAGAGCAAACTCAATTCTTTCCACAGCTCAGGATCAAACCGGTACACCGTTCTTTTTACGAGTTCAAGAGCAAACACAATCCTTTTCACGGCTCAGGATCAAACCGGTACAACTATCTGAAATCTTATAGAAACACACAACTCGAAACACACAACTCTCTGAAGTAATAGATTTACAATTTTCTCACAATACAATAGACATCTCTCTCAAGAATAAGATAAACCATAAATAGAATTGGACGCTTCGGAGAGATTTCTCACAATACAATAGACATCTCTCTCAAGAATAAGATAAACCAGAAATAGAATTGGAAGCTTCGGAGAGATTTCTCACAATACAATATAGAATTGGAAGCTTTGGAGAGATTTTTCACAATACAATAGACATCTCTCTCAAGAATAAGATAAACCAGAAATATAATTAGAAGCTTTTGGAGAGATTTCTTATAATAGACATCTCTCTCAAGAACAAGATAAACCAGAAATAGAATTGGAAGCTTTGGAGAGATTTCTCACACTACAATAGACATCTCTCTCAATAATAAGATAAACCAGAAATAAAATTGGAAACTTGGGGGAGAGCAACAATGGAAGCTTTTAAAAAAGTTGTGTATTGTGTTCTATGTTCTGTGTGTTGTGTTTTCGATTGATCCACGATGTCAATTTTGCCGTTGGTCCATGATGTTAATTTTGTCACCACATCATCGTGTCCGATATCTTGTTTTGAATTCGATTGGTCCATGATGTCAATTTTGCTCCCACATCATCACGTCGGGTATCTTGTTTTGACTGAAAGTTCTTCGTTTTAGCTCTAATTTGAGTGAACCAAAAAAGACGTTGAAATCGTTATTCCCAACCTTACACTGTCTAAAAAATACTGAGAATTGTTAATAATTGAAGATAGGTTTGTTATCATCAAAACATCAATTAATTAATTAATTAAAATTAATTAATTTGAAATTAAGGAAAAAAAAAAAAAAAACAACAACTATGATAAATGTTATGGTGTAACACGTTTGGCGATATAGTACATGTTATATGATATGCTGATGATATATATATATATATATATACATCTTTGGTATTGATCTTTTACAGGGGAGGGAAGGTAATATCGCTGTACCCTGTAAGAATCAATAGGTGATTGAAGGAATAAATAGGGAGAGGAGCGAGCGAAGCAGACTGATAGTTTACGAGGGGCAGACAATAGAATTGTGAGACCGATAGGTGAATGGGCAGGTTCTAGAGCAAAATGGATACAAATTAGTGGCTGCTACTTAGTATGGGCAATGGGTCTGAAAAAGTCTCTAAACTCAAAATGGTGAGATATTTGTACCCTGTCGAAGTAAGGAACCATGACATATATGTTTGGAATAGATTCCTTTACCAATTGAGAGAGTTGAAAAAGCACTATCTCGTTGAAAGGTTCTATACATCTGCCCTTGATCAAGGCATTTAGATAAAGACTCGTTTTTTCCTCTTTTCGGATGGTAAATCTTTCTCAGAACATGGAGTGTGAATCAAAGCCCCATCTTTGAATTGAAATTGAGATATTGATGCAAGTTCTTCCCCTCTGAATAAGATAGATTCATATCTGAAAGAGGTTGACAATAAGTTTTTTCAAAATTGACTTTTTGTCCCTCTGTTAGGTTAGATGTGTTCTAGAAATGTCTATGATCGAGTAAATAGCTCGACGAACGAATGGATTGAATCGAATTGGAAAATGGAAAAATTTGTACAAGTTATACCTTTCCACTTTGTGTAAAATAGTCAGGTATGAATATGTTAGATACTTGTGACTTGATTGGTTAAATAGTATCTCTCTCCCAGCAGCATGTTTTTTTTACGGCCGCACAAAGAAAAGATTTTGTTGCGAATGAACAAGATATTGAGGAATTGTCCATACGTCAAATCATAATTATTGATACGGGTCTTTTCCACATAACCAACATACATCAAAAGGGAATCTTTTGTTACAATAGAAGCAGAGTAGATAGAGTTGCTTTATAAAAAGAAGATATCAATGAACTTCTATGAAATGGTTTCACGGGATTTAGCCAATTGTCTTGATCGTGGGATATCATTGAGAAATAGGAGAGTGTTATCAAAGGATTTCCTGTGATTCTTTCTAGTATGGAATGAGTAAATCATTTACTTTGCTATCTTATCGAAGAAAAAGAAATTGTTATATTGTTCTTGATCAAGAATTTCTCTTTTTGGGAAGTCTCATGATCATCCAATAAGAAGGGTTTCCATTTTGTCAAATTCAAACTCTTTGAAGACCTATTGATTCTAACAACTGATTTTAGAGTTGATCATTCGGACCTTTCAATTCATAGATGTAGATCTCGGACCTATTAATGGAGATATTCTCGAAACTCATAAAGAAAAAAGGAAGTGAGTTAGAATAGAAGAAACTTGGACAAAAAGAAAGGAAGTGACTTAGACAGACAAATCCTTTTTATAGATAACATCATACCAATCCAGCGAATATAGATTAATATGTAATCGATCCAACACTACTTGAAAATGGCTCTTTCGCTCAGAAATGAAATATTCCTGGAAATTCTTGCTCCCACTCCCATTGGACCATTTCTATCTATATGCATTAGAATCCCGATTCATGGATCTCTCGAGAAAGAAAAATAAGAGGAAGAGGATCAAACCATTTCTTCTGACCCTTTTTCTTGATAAATCTTGGTTGATCGTATATTGCATTATAGTTCTATGATTAAGAGAAGAGTCTCATTTCCTATTTGATCCATTTTCATTCTATATTCTAAGTTGCGATCGGATCTATAAAAAGAATCGATTCAATACTTATGGTACTTATATTGGATTTGAATCTGATTTTGGATCAATATAGATTGACTGCCTCCATTATGTTGTTGCTAGCAAATACCACTCTTTTTTGTTTTGGATCTTCAAAATCATTCCCGGGGGAGGTCCGTACCCATTTTTTTTTGCTGATCCTTCGATTCATTCTCTTCATAAAAAAGAAAGAAAAGGTAGAACCAAGACATCCTTCTTTTTTGATGATATGAATCCAACAACTGATCACTTCCATGTACCTGAACGAGCAATTACAAGAAGTAATACAAATAAGATTCAAGAATCAAATCAAGAAAATAATGGAGTGGCTGATATTGGAAAGTAATTAGAAGACTTGCTTGGTAGTTGAATTACCAATTAAGGAAATTTATGAAAAGTAATTAGAAGACTTGACTTTGTTAGTTGAATTATCAATTAAAGGAATTTATTAATGTCTTATTTGCTTCAATTTGTATTTAATAGCATTCGTTACCATTTATTAGTGATTGGTGGCTGAACTTTATTTTGTTAGGGTTATCTCTTGAGCCTATTTAAAGACATGTAATATTTTGGGGGATTTTGGTTGAATACAGAAAAAACCTTTGTGTTTTCTTGATACCCTTTTGGTGTTATTCTTTTTCAAACCTTGCTTTATGATGTTTAAACCGATTCATTGAATTAGTTTTGATCAAGCTAATTCTGGAGTGAATTGTCTTGGTATCTAAGAGTGACCATCATAGATTCCAAGTTTGATCTAAGAGTCATTCATCTTCTAACCAACTCTTGGTTGGAATCAATCCGTTAAGTTAGCTTTCTCGGTGAGCGTTTTGCAAGGATTCTAGAAGGACCTCTAGCTTTGCAAATTCCAGCATTGTAGGCGTTTATCATTTCGATTCATCCCTTTACTCATGAAAGAATTCTTTTTGATCCAATCTGTAGGAATCAAGGCAAATCCCTTATGATACACCACATCCGGCTCGGTTATTAATAGAGTGAATAGATCTTCCATTTCTTTCAATCTCTCTTCTGATTCAAAATTGTGGTGTAAGGTGTATCCCCTCCAGTTCCGGTCATGGAATAGATGAAATAAATAAATGGATTTTTGTGAAAGAATGAAATCTTATTGTAACGGTCCATATCCAATTCAGCCTTCGGAACAATATCACACCCCGAATCTGATTCAATAGGATGAATTGAGACGTTATTTTGATAACACGTATATATCTTGAATATATTAACTATTTCTTTCTTTTCCGATCGCCTGGAAGGAAGGGACAAAAGATCTTCTTTCTTCAACAATTTCTGATCTCTAGTGAACCTCTTAGTAGGATTCGAACCCATATTCAGTTCTTACCATTTGTCAGACAGAAAAGAACAAATGGATCTTGTAGGATTCCCGAGAAATTCTACAATTTCTTCCCCGGAATCGGATGATTATTCATCTGCTTCTCACTCACATTCTTTGAATAGCCGAGACATTGAGCAATATCCAGAAAAGCATTTTGGGAATCGGTCTGATTCTATCTCTGTTCGTTCTGTTTGAAGAAAGGAAGGATCCCAAAGAATCGATCTTTCTTTTTGTTGTTGAATCTCTCTTTGATTGAGAAATGTATGGTACTCCGAATCCTCATTACTAATGGAATCGAAATGATCTCTGGATTGATCAT